GGAGAATGGAGGGAGGGATGAATGGATGGAGAAAGTGGAAGGAGGGATGGATGGATGGAGAATGGAGGGAGGGATGAATGGATGGAGAAAGTGGATGGAGGGATGGATGGATGGATAGATGGATGGATGGATGGATGATGGATGGAGGGATGGAGGGATGGATGGATGGATGGATGAACAGAGGGATGGATGGCCACAGAGGCAGACAGATACAACCAAATGCTCTGTAATATGTCATTTTACAACAACAGGATGAATATAAACCAGAGCGTACACGTGCAGATCAGATCAGGACTCAAACCTTCTTCAGTTGTTTGTTTACAGACGGTGATGCAGAGACGTGAGAAACATCTGCATTAATTAACAATTAGCAGCTCTTGAACCTGCTGGGACTGTGTGGAGCTCAGAGAGCTGGTTTATATCTGGATCTGCACCACTTTCACAGAACTGGTTGCAGTAAAACTAACACTGATCTCTTTAAGGGTGAACTAAAGGGTTACACAGCTTCTCCTGTTTTTCTGACATTATGATATAAAGTTTTACTTCTAAGTTCAGTCCATGTAGATAAAGAAACATCAGCCTCAGTGCACAGCTGAGAAAGGAACCAACGATTAAACTCTCTGTAGTTGCCTTTTAATTTGTCACACAACTGTTAGTGACGATCATCTGACAACCAAACACAACATGAAGAACGACGTGTCTCCTCCTGATTTTTAATAATTAATATTTAAATATTATTTCACTCCTTTCTTGTGTCTGGCCAATCAGAACAGCTATAATCCTTTCTGATTTCCAACACGGTCCGTCAGCACCTCTCAGACATAGTTTTAAAGCTTTTAAAAAGTTTCTCTCTCTGTCCTTTAGATGAGCCAGAATCCTGCAGCCTTAAGAATATGAATCGTTTTATCTGAAGCATGTGATAGTGAATAAACTACTTCAATAACCTTTGACACTAACAGCACTGAGCAAAGAGAAGGACAGAAGATTTAGGCTATCCAAAAATCAGATAGCACAGCTCCAAAGTCTAAGTCACATCAGCATTTACAGCATTCAGAACAAAGTCAGCTGATCTCCAACAACATGGAGGCCGAGTCAATGAAGCACTGCTGGCCGACTGCAAACCATCAGACAGCGCCGGAGCTCAGCTATGCAAACAGCAGGCAGCGCTATCAGATTAGCCGTTTGGCTCCGTGTAATGTTAGATAACCCTGTTTGCCCGATGAGGAGCCGTGACGATGGAGCTGACCCCTTCATGTCCATTCAGCAGCACTGGACACAACCCGGAGCGGCCACAGCCCGTAACATTCACACATCTCCACGTTTGTTATGGATGACAGCCAAAGAGAACCATGTGCCTGAGAGCAGCGTAACACACCTGTACTCTGCTCCCCAGCCCTTGACGAAGCTCATTCTGATGGTGCACATCCTGGTTAGCTGGTAAACTGCCTCAAATCCCTGATTGACCGACTGGGCCAGCAGAGCCGCAAACTCCTGGTTGTTGAAGATCTTCAGATTACAACCTGGAGGAAAAAAGAAAAAGACAGATTTGAGGTTTAGACATCCCCACTGAAGAGTTCATTCAGACATCCTCCTCCATCTTGAAGACCACAGAGGGCAACGAGGCAAACAGCTCCAGGTGTTTACAGCTTCTCAACATGTCAGTGAACTACTTTAGCGTGTTGAATGTGCCTTGCCATTTCTGTGAACATAATGTAAAAGCAGCAAGCAGAGGCACGGTGCGCTGTGGGTGTATCGTATGTTGGTGACTATTCTCCACGAGGCCGACGAGTCCGACCCCTGAACGAGATCCTCGTGTTGCGTTTCTGCTCCTCGGTAATGATACTGTTCACACTGCTCATTTGGCCAGGAATGAAATGTTCAAAGTTACATGGGTACAGATGAGTCAGCGTGTGGGTGAGTGTCTGAGAAAAACTGTCACACTGTGGAGGCTCTTCGTGTCGTTCCTCGAGCTCCGTTTTATCCATATCAGGTGATAAAAGTCACGTTTCACACATCAGTCGGGACTACTATGTACCGACAGTTAAGAGTTTTGTTTGAGGGTCTTCACATTAAGCTAACGCTGCAATTTATCCTGTTAGCAGTGTTGTTTTGTTTGTTTGTTTTGAAGCTACACGTGTATGAACCTGGTGGGATTTTGCAGACTGTCGCAGGATGCCAGCCGTATCGCTGGTTGCAGTTGGGACTCTGAACAAAAATGGCACTGTCGCTGAGGCACTCGGCGAACACCTCCCCTCCGATGTAGTACAACCTCACGCCACGACCTGCAGAGAGAAAAAGAAGTGAAGATGAAGGGAAAACATCTCATGAAGAGGAATTAAAGGTAGAACTACAAATACCATCAATTCCATGATACAGAAACTCATTTTTGAACCTTTTCACTTCGTACTTCTCATCGTTATCCGTCACTATTTCTGTAATTATTGTTTTTTAAAAGCTCTTGGATAGATCTAATAAACAAGTTTCCCTTCTGTAAAGTTACTGCTTCTCTTCAAGCACATCAAATCTGGAAAAAACAAAAAAAAAACGTCCTGCCGAGAAGAAACGCTGCGACACCTGCACTGTGAAACTCCTTTGAAGTCTTTGTACTGGTGATAACTGATAAACCGCGGCGCTCTTATGTGTGTGTAGAGGTGTGTGTGTGTAGAGGTGTGTGTGTGTAGAGGTGTGTGGGCGCCTTCACCTATGTGTCTCCTTGTCATTTCAACGGTTGCGTTTCTGTTCACGTTGCTGAGAAGTCCTAAACAGAAGCGCTCGGAGTTGGAGGGGTCGGTGAAGCCGTCGACGGTCAGAGAGGGCTGCGAGGCGTGAAAGGTCTCTCCGACCCGCTGGTTGAGCTCGTAGTACGCTATAGAGCACCAGAAGGCTGGTTCGCTGTAGGTGACCGGCTGAAGGTCTGAGGAGGAATCAGGGCGTGAACATTTCACATGTTTTAAAATCCATAACTGACTCCATATTTCTGTTCCAGATTTTACATTTTTGGCCCATTTTCATGATGAAAAATAAACCAAACTGTGTTTCTGACTTATGATAAAATCTAAAGCATCTGATAAGGAAAAGCAAATAAAGCATCTTACCAAGGCCATGACTGACAGGCGACAAGGTGCTTGGTGACATTTCTGCTGGTGAACCTGAAGAAAAAACAACAAAAACACATGAAATCTTACAGAGAGACGTACAGACTGAGTAAACTGTGCTGCTTAATGCTACTGATCTACTGTTTGTAGTCGGTATGAAAGCCTGTCAGTGCAGAAATACGATGGCTGAAGTGAGGCTTCATGTCTAATGAGGGCTGATGAGAAGGTTCTGGGACCATTCTGACACCGTTTAGAAGATTCAGCACTCACTGCAGATGGTACTTGACATGTTTGCATAATGGGAGCGCTGCAGGAGGACGACAGGCAGACCGCCAGCCAGCTCAAACAGGTACAGCTTCTGATTTTCTACAAGTCTCTGAGGTTTCTGATGACCCCTCATAAGGTGTTAAATCTGATCTTCTGACCCTTGTAGTGTTTCTTTGTTCCCAACAGCAAGCTAGCTAAACTAGCTCAGCACCCAACTAATGTACCCGAGTCCATACTTTGATTCATCTGCTGGTCACTGGTTTCTCCATCTTCACTCATGTAGCCGGGTGGAGGAGTGTCTAGAAAAGAAAACAAGCAGAATACATGTTGAGCAAGTCACTGCTGCGTATGATGAGATAAAGCTGAGGTTGTAGAGTATTCTGAGAGGTCAACAAAACGTGTAGGAGGAGGTACATCACTCAAAAGGTGGGGTTGGGTGGAAAAAAGAACGGCAACAAAAAGTGGGGGAAAATAAAAAAAAAGAGAGGTCAACATTTAATCGTTGGTTCCTTTCTCAGCTGTGCACGGATGTTTCTTTATCTAAATGGACTGAACTTAGAAGTAAAACTTTACATCATAATGTCAGAAAAATAGGAAAAAGTTCACCCTAAAAAAAAAAAAATCAGTGTTTTAGTTTTACTGCAATCAGTTCTGTGAAAGTGGTGCAGATCCAGATATAAACCGGCTCTGACCACAGCAGGTTCAAGAGCTGCTGGCACATCTCGTGATCCACTGTAGGAAACTCCAGTCTGGCTCACAGGTGTGTGGACTCCATCAGCAGCAGGTCGTTTCTTACAACTTCTCATTAAACAAATCAGGCTGCTTTGTTTAACAGCTGCTGTGAATGAAATCATTTTCATAAGAAAGAGAAAAGCTTTCCCTCCCGCCCTGGGTGCTGACCTGGTATGTAGTTGTTCGGAGGGTCTATTCCTGCAGGGAAGTTGGTGTTTTCGGGGATGGAGTTGGTGAAGTCGTCCAGAGGTGGAAGCTCTGTCAGAATCTCTGTGTGGCGCGGGACCAGCACCGGAGGCAGCACTGAAGAGACGAGGAGTGTCATCGACGAAGGCAAATGGGATTTGTTATACAAATCAAAATGATGCAACAATTATCATTTGTATATGAGCACTTTTGTTTCTGAGGTAAGCGTACTCCTGTGCCAACATTCTGCTTCTAATCCACACATGAAGCGTTTTTATTCGCTGTGAGGCTCGTTAGAGGGCACCTTGAAGCCACAGCCAGCAGAACTCAGATCTAACACCATGTCCTAAAAAGACACACAACTCTAGAGGACTATTACCAGGCGTCTCCACTCTCTGGTAATGGTAGGGGTTGACACACACTTCGTCCTTCTTGAGGTTGAACGCATACTGGCAGGTGTCGATTGCTCTCAGCTCGTGGTGGCTGTGAAGGTCAGGCCATCTCCACAAGCGGCAGTAGATGACATGAGGCAGGCCCTTACGATGAGACACCTGCAGACGCCCGTCCAGCGACCTGAGAGAGTCGGGAGAGAGAACAGCTCAATCATGTGGCCGGGGCTCGACGGTGGAGGAGAACGTGTGAAGGTCTCTGTGAGCTTCTGGTGTGATAGCGCGAGTTAAGGCGATATCCTACTAGAAAGAGAAAGAGGGGGAAAGGAAACGCTGCACGGCTAACCCACACTTTACAAGAATCCTCATGTCGGTTTCACAGATCTATAGTCAGAGCAATCTGTGAAACTGCACTGTTAACACTTCTACACTGCACAATCAGCACATGATGCGTTTCTGCTCTTTGCTAAATCAAGCCTGTAACCAAGTACTCCTGTTTGGTAAACAATCTTTATGATTATCACTGGAAATCCCCGTCATTATCTACCACTAAATGTGATAACACAATCAGTGAGCAGACTGTTCTTCCTCCTACAGCCTAATCTACAAATATTACAGCTCCATCATTTCCTTATTGTCTGTATTAGATAAAGCAGTGTTACACTAATGGCGGTGGAGCAGTTATAATATAAGTAATGATTACATTTCAGACAGTATGACTATGCTAATAGGCAGAAATGGAATTAGAAACCACCGACACCATCGACTGCATATGAGTGACCATTACAGCAACATGTGGGTTTCTACTGCAGGGATGAAGAGACGATCTTTTTAATGTATTGGTGTGCATGTGAGTGTATTCACCTGCTGTGGTCAGGGTATCCGTACATGCCTGCAGAGTCCCACTGCTCTATCGTGTGGCCTGAGCCGAGACCCCAAAGGTCTGAGCAATTGCTAAGGACACACAATCACACACACACACATGCGTACACATGAACACACACACACACACACACACACACACACACACACACACACACACACAAGACAAGTGCAAAAAGGGGGGAAACAAAATAAAAGCAAACAGATGGTAAACATGAGGTGTTTCATTCCAAATTAGTAACACACACACACACACACAAGACAAGTGCAAAAAGGGGGGAAACAAAATAAAAGCAAACAGATGGTAAACATGAGGTGTTTCATTCCAAATTAGTAGGATGAACTCACACATATGTGCAGTTGGTCTCTTAAGGGCATGAAGGCGGGAAATCAAACTAAAACCTTCAGCGTTATAAGAGACGAACTGGATGACAGATGACTGTGAGACATATCCAAACCAGACACATAGTGATGTGGTCAGCTGATGCAGATAAGCTCCACCTGTGGTTGGTTCAAACGTTCACATGAAAGCCAAGATGAGATAAATTTATTCTCTGACACCAAATGAAACTTTTTATAGATCTCAGAAAACGAGAAGTGCAGGCAATTACCAGTCCTCATTACAATTATTAGATGTTTTACAGTAAAATTGAATCGCTGCTCCGGAAAACGCAGCAACGGACACAACATGCAGGTCGAATTATCTGACGTGTTTATTGGCTTTCAGGTTAAATACAACCCTACAATGCATAGGGTCAGGCTACACGTACACATCAAATCATATTTCTGCTCAACAATTTTAAGACATGAGATGTGAGGAAACAAGTCACACAGGAAATATATGCATCTACACAACAATGATATGTGAATGAGGAAGTGAAGAAATTCAATAGACGGCACAAAATATGTATGAAGATGTGACAACAGAAAACAGAAA